TACTATTACTTTTCTTTATCCCCCTAAATTGACGTTCTAATACAATGTCCACTAAAGTTTTCAGTTTCCAGCAGATTCTAATACAATGTCCTAACTGGTGCTTATATTTTATGGTAGAAAACTATATTTTTATTAATTATTTGTTGTTACAATAAGGGCTATACTAAGTCATGTATGCTTCTGGCAATTTTGCTAGTAGTGCATTACTAATAGCATTGTCGATCCTTGAATCAGATGAGCCAGGACCGTGCTTGCTAGGATGACAGAACATCCTCTCTGCTTCTTGACCTAATCATCAAGCAGAGAGACCTCTATCACTGGAACTCCACTGGTCCAACCTCACTAGGGTGGAGCAATGGCGTTCATGAATTCAACGAAGCAACAAACCTCAGGTACAGCAAGAAAACATGCCAGAACAAGTACAACGAGCTGAAATGTTGTTACTTCAATTGGCGCGACGGACAGACCCATACTGGGCTAGGCCGTGACCCGCTGACTAGAGAGGTTACAGCTGACCCCGAGTGGTACGACGCCAGCCCCGAGGTACTAACTACACGCATTTCCTTGACTTTTTTTAGCAATTAGGTTCCTACTAACTCAGTACTAACTTCGCCATCACTTGAACACGTGTAGGAAAGTAACCAACCCGCTAGAAACAAGTTCAGACGGCCCCAATGTTGCGAGCAACTGATCATGATTTTGGGACGCACCCCATGTGACAGGGGCCAGTTGCTATCGGGGGGGGGCATTGACCTGACAAGTCACCTAGTAATGGAAGCCCTCGCACTCCTCCATCCTTGTCAGACGAGCCGGTCGTGCCACCTAGTAGTCATCAGCCCTCGAAGAGAGTCCATAGGGAATATTCAGTTAACAGTCCTCGCAGCAAGAAGAGTAGCCAAACTCCATCCATAGAAGAGTGCCTTGAAGACCTGGGCCAATTTATCGGAGAGGCTAGGTCCCAGAAGGCCCGTCGTAACACCAATGCTCAGGAGTTGGCCCAAGTCCAAGACATTCTAATGCAAGATGGTATCAGCGAGGCTGATGTAGTATTCGTGCAAGCCCTAAACCTTTGCAGAGACAGGCTTCGTCGTTAGGGTTTTCTTAAAATGAAATCTAAAGAGGGCTGGCTGAACTGGATCAATGTGACGTGGGCCTTTGTGTGCTCCAACAAGTCCTAGTGATCAACACATTTCTTGTTTTTCTACTGTTTGCGGGTATCCACCATGTGCATGTTGAGTTCATTCTGTTTGTTGTTTCGTTATGTTCGTTTTTTTGTATTACCAAAGACCATTGCGGAGAACTAAGTGCATGTCGTTGTCTCGTGTTTTGAATAAAAATTTTGTGTAGTGTTGTGAGTGTTGTAAGACATTATGCATGTATCACTTTTCTCTTGTACATTCCAACCTGTTTTCAAGGTGCTACCTAGTTGAGGTATCTTGATATGTTCACTTATTAATAAATGTTTTGTTCCTAATATCTGCATTACAATCTGACTGATTTCTGCCCATTTGCAGGTAGCATCATGAACAGCACTGACGAGTCGTCGTACAGCGATACTTCCAGTGATGGACCAAGCACTGTGACCTTGGCGAAGGCAGCAGACATCCTTCTGAAAGGTATTCTGTCACAGCAAAGGCCTGAGGTAAATCCTCCTTGCCCCATTCCTAAGCTATCTAGAGCCCAATGGATGTAGCTTACCCTTGCCGACCAAACCAGGTGTTTAGACAATTTGCGCATGACGCGTGATGCCTTCATGCATTTGTATAAAACCCTACTGCCGTTTGGCCTACCATCAACAGATAAGTGCACCTCGGTAGAAGCTCTAGGCATGTACATCTGGACCTATGCCAACCAATCGGCTAGTAGAGAGTGCAAAGATAGGTTTGAAAGGTCTTTAGATATAGTTAGCAAAAAGATTATAGTAGTTGTAGAGGTTATGTATAGGTGGGCAAATAGTGTCCTAGTGCCAGCAGATAGGAACTATGCACACGTAAGCCACAAACTTGCTGCATATGCACCATGGTTTGATGGATGCATAGGTGCTATAGATGGCACGCACATAAAGGTTGAGGTTAACCGTGAAGCAAAGGCTGATTTCTTCAATAGAAAAGGCGAAACAACAATTAATGTTTGTGCCATAGTGGATATGGATGGCCGTTTCACATACATGGGGGCCAGGAAGGCGGGGGCATGCCATGACATGGCGGTGTTGAAAGACTGTCTGGACGACGCTTCGTTCCCACATCCTACAGTAGGTTCGTGATGCGTTGATGTTCACATCCCCTAGCAGCATACTTCTGTTCAATTTGCTATGACAGCTGATGGATTTCTCGTTGTTTTCATCGCTTGTAGGCCGGTACTACCTGGCGGACGCCGGTTACAAGGAGATGCCAGGTTACATGACCCCCTACAGAAACACAAGGTATCACATCAACGATTTTAGGGGGATAGATTTACAGCAGTTGCAGAGGGAGGAGAAATTTAACTACATTCATGTGAAGTTGCGAAATGTAATTGAAAGGATGTTTGGGGTGTTGAAAGGATGGTGGTAGATTATGGACGGGGTGTCGTACTGCAGTAGGATGAAGCAGGCTATGATAATCATTTCATGCTTTGCTTTAGATAATTATTTGTGGATGCGTAAGTACGACGTAGATCCACCCTCGTATGAGCTGCCGGAGTGGGTTGAGCTAAATCGGGGAACCCCAATCTCTGGAGTTAGGGAGTTAATATCTATGGTTGTGTGGAGTGGTGTCTGATTTAGGAAATTTGAGGTAATGCAGCTGGTCCTCTATTGCTGTGCAATAACTTATCTGCTTTTGTTCTAATAATATGGCATCTTTCTCTAAGGTGTTCATTTCTATGTCAGGGCTTGTGTATTGCATGGATTACTTGGAGAAGAATATTGACTGGCTTGAAGAAAAACTGAAGCCTCTTATTGAAGGTGAGTAAAAGAATATCTCCCTGAAGGCGATTATTTGCATGTGGTTTGGGTCAAGGCTGTTGTTTTAGAAAACAGTAGCTTTAGGTACAATTCCATGGCAGTCTTGTCTTGTGGATGTGTAAGGTTTTGTGGGACTTTGTTCGTTTCAAAAAATGTTTTATGGGACTATCATATTGTGTTCATTGGTGTATGGGGAATTTTAGTGTCAGAATTACAAGTGCCAAGTTCTATAGTGTTTGGTGACGTGATGAAATACTCTAGTTCATTTGTCTACGAACAATGGACTAGTTGCTACACTATTTCTGTGATTCACCATGGGAAGCAGTGGAGCAGATAATCCGTCTAAGACAAGGTAGGCATCTGCCCGTCAGGTTCTTGATGCTGGGCCTGTGGCATTATAATTTAAGCGAAAAAATATGACTTGCTAAAAATTTGTCCTTCCCTGTAATAGGAGCAGCAGGCACCTGCTACCTCAGGTGCTGCAACACCGGTTGTTTTTCCTGATTGGTCCAGTTCTATAGTCATGTCGGTGTTATGATCTTAGGCTTTCTTCAAGGATTCTGTTCCTCAGAGGTATGATTTCATCATATATGCTGTCTTCAAGGATTTTGTTCAATGCTTGAGTCAGGTGTGGCTAACATATTCTCCTATTCTTCAGATAGGCAAGCAAAATTTCTGGTTGCAGGGCATTATAGCTAACTTCTGCTTCTTTAGTTTCCAAGCAGGTAAACTGCATTCAGCCATCAGCATTTATGATCGTATGATATCCTCTGCCATTTCTTAGTCTATGCAGACATTTAATTTAATGATAAGGTAGATAAGTGTATAGAAACCCTAGAAAATGGGACCCCTAATTTGGAATTGCATTCTTTTTCTTGAATATGTTGTTTGTAGCACCACGTCATCACTCATCAACTTCAATCTTCATTTCAGTGTTTACGGCAAAGGAGAAAAGCTGAACAAGGCTGTTGAAATGTTTGCTGCTGCACAGAAGCTAGGCTTGCCAATTGATGAAAAGATGTACACAAACATGCTTAGCTTATATGGAAAAGCCGGTTAGGTTCTTGTGCCCTGGAAACAAAGCAAGTAAAGATCTTCTGATTCATTATTTTTGCCCACTGCTTTAGTTTTCCTTCCGTCCAGTTCTAAGACTATGGATTTTTCATATTTTCAGGTAGGCATCAGGGGGCATCTTTAATGTCCAAAAGAATGAAGGAAGATGGGATCAGGCCTGGAAAGGTTCGCTTTCATTCAATGTTACTTTTGAAATTGCTTTCAAAAAACAAGGACTGCTGTAGTTCCCCCTTGATCATCTAAAGCAAACATGGCTAATCTGGACCAAACTTGCAATGTGCAGATTAGCTTCAATTCCGTGATCAATGCCTATGCCACTTCAGGACTGTATAGCGAGGCGACAAGCATATTCCAGGAGATGCAGGAATGTGGTCACGCTGCCGACTCGTTCTCCTATCTCGCGCTGATCAGAGCATACACGGAGGCTAAACTGTACACTGAGGCAGAAGAAGCCATCCAGATGATGCTGAACATTGGACCTAACAGGCATGTAGCCTCATTACATGACTAACTGTTTCAGCGCTTGAGTTGCAAACTGTAAATTATTGGTTCAAACTGTAAATCAGCATGATATAGAAATGCATGGTAGTTTGAATTTGAAAGTTTGAAATCAGCATGAGCTACAATTGGTTGGCGCCAATTTTTGAACTTCTGCAAACCAGCTGCTGGCTGGAGGCTGGAATTGGCTGGCTGGGTTGGCTAGTCCAGCCCCAGCACCAGCCAGCCAATTCAGCCCTGCCGAACAGGTTGATGAGTAGTTGCATGTAGAGCAGCGTCAGAAACTGCCCACGTGATCAAAAGCTGATATGAGATGACCGGTATGCTACAAAAATTATTTCTGATGGCCTTTCAATGAATCCCGTGGAACAAGGATGGCTAAGGACCTCTGAACTTCTTCATGTGCCCCATTTCTCAGAGAAGTCGCTTTTGCATGATGAGTGGCATCCAACGTTTCTCTGTGTGATGAGTGCATAGACAACATTCACTCAGCTTCATTACATGCTGATTTTAGTGGAGTAACGGCAAGGAACAGTGCACAACCAATAGATGCACAAGATACCAGGACTACAACGATATATGGAAGTAGAATAGGGTTTTCAGTGTTCCCTTTCAGGTCGTTTGTCCAAGTGCTATCACCAAACAGAACCTCCGCCGCGAAAATAATATTTGTAAACGGTGTTAGAAGAAATGCTAGGAAGGACAATATTTCAACATATAGAGATATCCGGTATCTGCCCATCAATAATCTCGAAGAGGAAATGCGAAAAACAGGTATCATAGACGAAGGAATGAGCATCGCTTGGATAATTGGGCAGACCATGAGTAACTGATATAACCCTTCAAAACCTGCAACCTTCGCATGGTATATAGTAGCAATCATGGCAAAAACCTTAGGTAACAGATGGTGCGTAAAAAGAGGCAGCTTTACGCCGAAGAGATTCTCTGAAATTACATCACTACCAATAATACATGTCATTGATACGATGTGGCCTGAAAAGAGAAGGATCACCAATAATACAATTGGCGCCACAGGATTTGTAAATACCTACAAAATACAAGAACCCAGATGAAATTCATGAAGGAGCTTCATCCTTCAATGCACACTCCAAGCTCAAAGTGATACTATCTTTATTGAATATGCATTGGCCAGTTCATGCGGAGGCTAAGTTTTTCAAGAAAGGGTAGAAAGGCTGATCAAATTTTATTGCTGCAGCTATACATTCAATGTGGAAGAATTTGAATTTTAGTGAGGAATAAGAGCATCTTTAGCAGTTTCCCTATAACTCATTCTCTATGTCCCCATTCAGGGAATGAGCCTAAAGGAGAGTTTATCTCCAGTGACTTCCCTAGAACACATTTCCCTAGAACTCATGCACCATTAGTCCACCCCAAAAATTAGGTAATGTACTTATAATACAATAATTTCACAAAGTTGAAAATCCAAACGTGCAAGGTATAGTAGCATGCCACAACACTAAACCCAAACCCATGGTCATTTCTTGTAATTTGAGAATTCGAATGCTGCTCTTACATTAATAGGAAGGTGAACAGAGAACAAATAGCCAGTTGAACAAAAGACTTGATGGATAAGTAGAGAACAGTGACACAAACCTGATTCATTATCTGTCTAGCATCTTGGAAGTTAATGGCCATTGTGGTTTTGGACTCATCAACTGCTGAACTCAGCAGAATATAATTCACAAGAAAGATACCAGAAAATGCAAATAGGATAGAAAAAAGGTGATCATGAAACAGAGAACCAAGGATATGACCCCGAAATCTTCTCTGAACCTGCACAAATGATAATATGATATCTGAATTAATACTGATGCAAGAAGCCGAAGGAGACCAAACTAGCAAATAATGAATCAAGAATAACTCGGTACATTCAGTACCCATATGGTGAATTGGTAATCAAGAACAACCAGTGCACTCAATGCCCTAACATAAAACATCACTTGCACCGCGAAAGACGTATTCAGGACTGATAAGACAAACTTTTAATCGAAGGCATGCTTGACAAAGCTAAGTGCACCAACTCTAGCTCCATATGTGTCATCTAACAATTGCAACTAAACATGAGAACGGGATGTTGGAAATTTACCTGAACAACTGATGAATGAGTATAGAAGTTGTGTACTATTATATTTGTGCCAAGTAGTGCCATCAGTGAGTAAGCACTTTCACCACTCAACTTGGGGAACATTACGTTCGTATTAACATGGGTTTTGGGATGGCTGACTAATAAACCAAGCACAAAACAAACAAGTGTAAAGCCAGATAAGTAGGCATTAAACATTCCAGTCTTCCTCTTGTCCTGCAACCAGCACAAATATAAGAACCAGAATACATTATAAAAAAGTCTTAGAGCATGTCATAATTTTATACACAGTTCTTTGGGGACATAAATTTACCAGAAGGGAGAGTGTATATGGTAGCGTATTAATTACAACACTTGTAAAACATACGATTGTGATGGGATCGTTGCTTTCAAATGCAAGGTTGAACCCAACTGCGATGCCTGCAATCTGAAAAGTGTCATATGTTAAGTGTTTTCCCCTTGAAAATGTTAAGTGTTTCAAATGTATGAGCTACTTAAGTGCTCTATTAATTGTAATGGTGCAAGCAAATGTATATCATGAGCATAAAAATCCAAGATAAACCATCATCAGAAAATGAATTTTCTGAAATATTTGTAGACATACCATGGTCAATTCAGAAGTTAACAAGGACAGCCCTGCTTGAAGACCAAGAACAACACATATTTTCTGATCATACTCCTGGTGGCAAATCTATTTGTTCATGTACAAATATAACAAGAAAGAAGTCAAGATCTAAAGAAGATTATGCTGAAAATAGATGAAGAAAATGTAAAATAAAAGGGATATTTCTAGATAGAATTTAAACCTCAAGCCATTAAGTTTTTGTTGTGGCATGTGGATATCTGATGTGTTCTTTTGAAATATGATGGCATTTTTTTTCAATAGAAGTATGTCAGCATAGCTACAACACTTAGGATACCATGATTACTCCATGTGCATTTTTTCAGACACTTCCCATAGACACACAAAACACACACACCAATAGCACGGGTACATACAACACTGTGGTTCTGGTGAGAGTTCTACAGTTGCAGTGGCAAGAGAGGACTGAGTAAATTCTTACCTCCGCAAGATTCTTCCCGGTGACAATGCCGATACAACTCGAGAGGTACTGACACAAAATAGCTGATAGATTAAAAAGCAGCACGAGCAGGACAAGATCATAGCCAAACCGAGATCCTGCTTCCACTGCCACCAACCATTTCCCGAAGTCAAGATACCCCATTGAAACCAGGAGTGTTGGTCCAAGGGTACGGAAAGAATTATGCGGAGCATCCCCAGCAGCCGGGGACTCTATGCATCGCACACCATCCATTGTGCAGGAACAATGATGATATGCAAAAGCTCAGTATGGATCGACTCTACTGAAACCCAACTGTTTACAAACTCAGGCCTTTTGTACTCTCTCGTTATGATCCAAGCAGTCTACTTTGAATTTCCAAAGCCCAGTGTGACCTCCACGTCTGGCACCGTGACAATTACAATAATGAAGACGCTCCTGATTTAAGCTCCATCCATCACGCCACAGTACTTTGCCTACTGGTCTCACGAAAACAAACTTTACACTATTTCCTGCAAATGGAGCCCGGCGATCGAAAGGCGGTTGGTGGCTTACCCTGGTGGTGCTTGCCGACGACGAGCGGCGCGGAGGCGGGCAGCAGAGAAGAGGACCTCGTCTTCCGAGTTCCCACACCTAGGTTTCGAGCTAGTAGGTGCCGCGCGCGCGATTTGCTCGATCGGGAGACGGGAGCGCTGCCACTCATGTCCGCGGGTGTGCCGTGGCCCGTGGGACGCGCGCAATAGGGCGCCACGAGACGCGTGGCGAGGCGAAGCTGGGTGGCAAGCATGCAGGAGGGACAGCGGGGACGCGCCGCTGCTGACGTCGTCGCGCCGTGAGCCATCCTCATCCAAGAGCAAGCCGCAGCCCCCACGCGCGCGGTTGACGGGGCAGTGATCTAGGCGCTGGCCAGCCGCTTCCATACCCAAGTTTTTTTTTTTGGGGGGGGGGGGGGGGCGCTGGCATAGCTGAGTCAAAAAAATTATAGTAATTTTTTAAAACTTACTCCGTTCTAAAATTTTCGTAATTGTAGGACTTGAGGAGCAAATTAAGATGAGTGTAAAATGATCATGTTTTCCCTATATAAAGGTTTCAGATGCATGGACAGAGTGACAGAACAAACTGGTTCCAGTTCGTGATGACGAGCTGCACAAAGCGTTCCAGAGACATCCATGAGAAAAACAAATGGCTAGCAGGTCTTGTGTGGGTCCTACTTAATGTGATAGTTTACTGTGACGGTATAGTACCTATGCATGTAATTTTTTTTGGGATAAATTCAAACTCTATAATTGCAATATTTATGGGACAAAGGGAGTATTTTGTATTTAGATTAAAATTTCAAAAATGGACCTGGGCACCGCAAGGATATTGAAATATCTCCCGACACCATAGATTTAGGATCGGATAATCCCATCTTCCTTATCTCTAGGGAGGTTTCTTGCCTCTAAACAATACTCTTATGAGTATAATCTGATCACGAGGCTTATCAACACAATCTACTATCCCACCAAATCCTTTCCTCCTATATGGTATCATGAGTTTAAGTTTTGCTTTCCACACTGCATGTCTTTAGGGAGCTTGATCTCTGTCGGGAGCAACACCATCGTCGTCGCTCTAGCGTGGGTTGTAGCAACAAATCGCTTAATTACCTCCTCTCTGTGGTCGGCCTTCATTGTCTAGATCTCCGCTATTAGACCGTGCCTGGTCACCGTACCATCGTGGAGGCGACCGGGTTAGATTGCGCCCCAACCATGCGTTTAGGCGCCACCACCGTCGACCTGCGTCGTCGAGCCATCTGATCATGCATTGTCGGAGACGCCTCTGCTGGGCGACCATCGGTTCTAATTTGTTGCCCACCAATGAATTTAGGATCATAATAAGATATTTCAGCTACTGTTAGATGAACAGTATCACTTCTCTGAGTAAGCAGACGAGCCAACACTTCCACTCTCACCGATGCATTTAGGATCATAATAAGATATTTTAACTATACAGGCTGCTATTTTTTATTTTTTTGTTTACATTTATATAGCTGATAAGTCATCCACGTTTGTTAGGTGGTTTGTGTTAATGATCCTTTACAGAGGTTTCTAGGATTTGAATCCATGATCTGTATTACTAGACACATTTCCACCGCTACACCACACACTAATTCATCGCTATATATAGGATGCTATTCTTTTATATTAACATTTTGTAATATTATATTAATTATTTGACTGCTAAAAGATCAAATGAAAAAACTACAAATTTTTAGAACTTGTCGAGCGCTATAATTTTAAATATAGAGCGTGTTCGTCTGAGATTGTTTTGAAAAAATAAAAAAAATGAATCAATTCAAAATATAAGAACTTAAAATAAATATCTGATACTCTAAACAACTGAAAGCATCTAAATGTCTAGAAGGGTTGAACAGCCTAAATATTATGGTAGAACCGTCTGGAATAACACATTTTCGGAGGAGCTTGTCTTCCACTAGATACTAAGCACCATGAAAGTGGACTATACCGGACAGCTCCGTTAAGCACACCCCAAGGGAGAACTCGAAACAATCCACGTTTTACATCCAGAATCTAATAATGAGTACGAGCTTACAATACTTAGTCCATTTCATACAACCTAGAATCTTGAAAATTATTTATTACAATACTAGAGTTTAGAGTGCGATAATTAAACATCAAAAATGTAATAATCATCTAGCGGAAACGATACAAGTATTCATTTGTGTTCACCAGAAGAATCCTCCACACAAGTGCTAACTCCTCAAGCTGTACCTACAACAGGGTAAAATAAACCCCGAGTACACAATGTACTCGCAAGACTTACCCGACTAGTGGTAATAGTTTCTCGACTCGCAAGGAATATGATAGGCAATATGGTCTGCCGTTTTCTTTTGTTTGAAAAAAAACATTACTAAAAGTACGTCCTAAGGGTCAAGTTTTATTAGCAGTCATGATTACTTAATTAGCTAACCATTCTAGATAAGCATCTGTTCTACTTTCTAGAAAGGCTTGAGCAATCAGAACTATTTCACCATCTTTTATCTTCTAGTTTTTACTACGGTGCTAGACCATAGCCAAGTCGTACCGTCTCACAGAAACGGCGATTCGTGAACCAATGTATCCCAGCTGGGTACCCCGAAGCACACGCCTCGCTTGTACCCCAGGCACAAACGAGACCAACCCACTCCACTCCTGTCAAGGGATCCAGGTCCTCGTCCAAACTTGAACTCCAAGCCCCCACACTTGAGATCCGGTCTCAGCATGGTGCTTAGACCTCTATCTTTCCCCGCCTCCAATCACTCGGTCCGAAAAAAGAGCCGGAACCCACGACAAAGAGCGCAATGAGCCTTCCCGCTCCCATAAGCAAGTATGTGCTCAGGATAATAAGTCTGTGACCTGACTACCATCCACAGTAATGGACGGTCCTCAATCGACAAGGATAGGAAAAACAGTGTAACCAAGCTAAGCCCCGTAGCCGCGGGACACAACTTGTTACGCCCACCAATAACCTATGCCATATCCCTGTCCGGTCTTCATTTTCTCTTCATAATTTTTATTATGAAAGTAATAATAATCACCTATTGTGAGTAACGACAGGTTACTCACGCTATCGACAACCTAAACATAGCAGCTACTCGAACTTGCACTAGTAGGAGATGGATATATATATGCATGTGGTTTCCATAGAATTCCTGTAACGTAAATGCACATCACATATATTTACGATAATTATAAAAAAATAAGGGTTATGCACTGGGGCTTGCCTTGGGCAGACGCGGTGTTAGCTGAGTCAGTCAGTGGCGGCTTCGGGACCTCCTCCTGCACGAAAATCTTCTCCTCGTATCCTTGACGATCTCCTCGAACTCGGGCTCGCCGGTGGTCACGATCTCCGCCAACCCGTTCTCTATATGCATGCAATGATGATGATGCAACAATTCCGTATTTAGGCAACAACAACTCTTAAAATAAGAATACACATGTTAAGCTACTAAGCTAGCTCTAATGACTAAGATACTAAGCGAACTATCATCTTCATCAAACAAGATATTGAGTTCAACTAACAAGCACCTAGTTTCACAATTCAATGGTATGCCTTTATCTCTATTAAAGATTTAATGTATATTTAAACATAGAACATTTAACTACCCTAATATTTAGTTTAGTCTAAGGCTACAAAAATTACAGTGAGCACATAATAATACAATGAAACTACTATAAAATTTTTAGGATTAAAGCTATCATCAAATTACCACAAAAATTCCTACAATAATTACTTTAATAATATTAAGCACTTTCAAATGATTTAATAGCCTTTAGTATCAACACAGATATGTATGAACTAACTACACTATCAGGTAGACAATGATTTTAGGAACCTAACAAAATTAGTTTCATAATTTTTGGACACCTATACAAATTTATATTAATTATACAAATCTAGCTCAGAAATTAAAATAGAAAGCTATTACCTATTTCTAAGAAAAAGAAAAAACAAAACCGACCTCGTGGCCCACAAAATCGCGGACCACACGCGTCGGCCGGCCCATCAACGCGGCCCAAGAGGGAAACCCGTGCGGGCACGACTCTTTTGCAAAAGAGACCCTGATCTTTTTCAAAACTATGTCGCCATCCATTTACTAATTCTTTCTCGGACCTCTTCACTTAACCCCTGGCCTTCCTCTAATTTCCCTACACACACCTCCGGCTAACCCGTGCACGGCGGCGCGATGAGCATTGGCATTGGGTGGCTACGCCGGCCACCAGAGGCTCACACAGGCCCATCGGTCGGGCCGACCTCCAACTATGGCCTAAACACCTACGCTAAGCGACAATGCGGGGCGGCGAGACTCGCTGGAGCAAGCTGCGGCGACGCGCGGGCATCCGCGACTGTGGCGCAACTGTTCTGGAGAACCATGGCACCTAAGGACCAAACCGGCTAGCGAGCGAGCACCAGGGACTTACCGCGGGCTCGACCGGTGTGGTGGTTGTAGCGGAGGAGGCCGGGGATGGGCTGGTCATGTGCGCGCGGCGAGCTCAGCGACGAGCCACGGCGGATACGGCCGTGTCAGCGGCACCGAGGAGGCTGTAGCGGTTCCGCTAGCGTGCGCAGGGTGGAGAGGGAGTCAAGGCGAGGCTAGTGGTGCAGATAAATTGGCTACAGAGAGTTCGATGGGGAACTGTCATCGGCTTTTGACGCACACGGCCTTATTGCCCCGACGACGAGGAAACGCCAAAATTGAAGCTTGGCTGGGCTCGGTCCAAGGCGGGGTGGGGTCGGGTGACTAGGCGACTTGATGGCGAAGCCAGCGACGCGACGAATCGGCTCGAGATGATCTCTCCCTGACGGATTTAATGGTGCGGCCCAGCCGGCCATGGAAGTAGAGAGAGAGAGAGGTTGGTGGGGCTCAGCTCGACCTCGTCTTAGCAGGACGCGGCCGATGCGATCGGGGAGACACGCGCGCAGACACTGCGGACCAACCGTGTGCGTCCATGATTGGGCACGGCCCACGCTGCCGCAGTGCCATAAATGGCAAGACGACGGCGAGCCCAGCCATGTGCGCGTAGCAGTGGTAGGCATCAGACCGGGCCAGTAGTGGCGCGAAGGTGCAGGGGGGTGCGGACACGATGGCGAGGCGACGACACTGGCAGTAGCTGCGCCACGGCGTAGGGCAGGGGCAGTAGTGCGACAGGAGCGGCGGGGCAGCCAGCAGCACCGCAAGACTAGGAGAGCAACAGCAGCGGCTCCGCGCGACAGCAGCAGCCAAGCCATGGCCGGTCGAGGGCGACCCTGGCCCACAAATGCGGCTCCGCGCGCATAGCCTAGCCGGGATGACCACGGCGAGCACAGGCGCATGGTGACCGCGCACACAGACCGAGCAAGTGATGTGCACGACTTTTAAAGCGTCAATAACAGCCGAACTATGGAAGTTGAGACCAAACCACCTTCACTATGCTAAAGTGGGCATATCAGACTACCAGCATGAGCTAAAACATGACACCACTGCCTAGCTAAATTGCACAGAATTAATTCGCCAATATAGCGTCGTCGCCCTGTTTTCAAACTTGAAAATCTTCTAAGTCTTGAGCTAGATTCAGTTTCAGGTTCCATTTTGAGGCCATTAGAAATACTAGCCAGCAATGCTTTTTTTTCTACAGCAAGAATTGCATTATCATCTATAAAGTTTGTACTTCAAACTTATTTAGGTGTCACACACATGTTCTATAATACTTTTGCTTAATAAAAATTGATTTTCAACCCTACTTAATATACATGAGCTATTGAATTAACTTTCATTTAACATTTTTATTAGTCATTTTAGGTTACAAGAAATTGATCTACACACTTTATCACATGCTTTATCACATAAACATGATGTTCATGACATGATTTAGTGGTTTGTTTAGGGTGTAACACCGAGGGTGTTACAAATATTTATCTACCAAATGCACAACACTAAATCAAAGTAGTTAGCATAAAATGAGATCCTAATAGAAATTACTTTGCCTAACACAATTTGGGTAAGCCTCCTACTCAATTCTAGTAGCAAGATGATCCTAGTCCACTAATTGTCACTCAACTACCAAAACAAAACTGGGGCATTCAACAACTTTAAATAAAAAACTTATCAACTACAAAGTTGTATATCGCGTCGACCATGACAACTAGGTATTGATCATGGCCAAAATTGAATGTCAAAGTTAAAGAATTTCTAACACATATTTGGAACTCTAAATAAAATGTGGATGACTTATATTAAAAACCTATCAAATAAAAATCTTTCAACTACAAAGTTGTACATCGCATTGAGAACTAAAACTGTTACGTAGACCATGTCAACATCCGAGATTATTAAAAAATTATAAAATTAAATTTCAAATTATAGAAAATTAAAACAAGATTTGGGACTCTAAATAGCTTTAAATCAGAAACTTGTCAACTACAAAGTTATAGATCAGACCAATCTCTAATTTTTTATGTAATGTTTATCTGTACTCGACCTTATATGAAAATGTATTTCTATAGACGATGAGCCTCTTAAGTGTGCCGTCTCTGTTAATCGATTTTTAATGACAACATCTTAGAATGTTCGTCTTTATTAATAACCAATTCAGAGGCAGACATCTTAAAATAGTCTACTAATAAAAATGGTTTTCTTAAGATGTCCATCTCCGAAAATGATTAACTGAGGTAAACGTGTTGGTTCAATGTTGAGCTCGTTGAAGAGCGGGTATGTGGTTGACCTATAAAAAAGCATGTAATCACAAATAAACAGACATGAGGGTGTGGGTGTGTGTCGTCTCCTAAAATCTTCGCCTCAATTAATAAGATCCCCACCTTAATTAATTAGAGGCTTATCTCCTAAAATTCTTTTATAGTAGTGGTTCAATGTTGGGCTTGTTGAAAAGCCAGCTCCCAGTGAACCAAACTTTGGTCAGGAGCATATATGTCAGTGTGACAGTGTCAGCATAGCATGGTAATCACTTCTTGTGTAAGCTCACCGTGATAATAAATAAGATGCCCCCAGAACTCATCAAGAATTACTGCTAACTGCCTCCGTGCTGCGCGCCCCAAACCAGACATTTTAAAAGGCTACCACTGGCATTACCATGAGACCATGACCACTCTTTTTCCCCTTACCTACTACAAGCAAGAAACGGTGGATCATTAGAATCTACCACCTCCAGCAGACTTCTCATATTTCAGATTGCACAATACCTCATTCTCCCCATCTGTGTAAACATTTGCTTCTGCTTTTAACAACTTTTTTTTTTGAAGGGCAGCAAGATCATTGCTGCAAAGTTTATTACAAGAAAAGGAATTGGTCCATCTTTGGAAAAAAAGAGGACCCAAAAACTGAGCAACTGCACGGTTCCAAAAGTGAAACCGGCCTGAACTGCAACAAAAAGAACTACATACAGATACAGCTGACAAAACCAAAACACAACTACGAGAATTGCTGGCAACAAAAAAATCACCAGCAACTACAACCATCAACACCTCTTGCGAAACTACCACAGATCGATCCAAACAAGAAAGTTGACAACTACTATAAAACAACTGAGAAGGCACCATCATCTCTAACCAAGAGCACCACTAGCCGAACCATGAAATACTGAGAACCATGAAGGCAAAACCTAAAAAGAAGGCTGACACACCATCGGAAGGATATCAACAGGTTGGATGTCAAGTTGATCAAGGGCTTGTCTCAGAGATTCTTCCACCTATGTCACCCTCATGAGTTGTCTTCACCTTCTTGTTTAACCACCATTTCATTTGAGGGCTTCATCTCGAAATGTTCTACTACAATGATACAGACCTCTGGAACTGGTTGCGTCCACTCAACACGAACTGATTTTGGCACCTCATTGGTTATAGGTGGTGATGGTTCAGCTTCAGGATTAATCAATGTATCCACAGTCAATTGCTAAGCGCTACAATCAGAGGTGTCGGAATCGCATGTAAGCTCAAAAGCTGATTCCTGATGACCCTCCAATGAATCCCTCAGAACAGCATCAACAGAAGACCTCTCAATTTCTTCATGTGCACAATTATCCAGATAAGGTGATCTGCAGGTGTGTTCATGAACTGATTCCGTATGACCTTCCGATGAACCCATAAGAACAGCTCCAACAGAACAGCTTTCAAATTCTTCATGCTCATTTTTTTCCAGATAAGTTGCTTCTCTATGAGTAGTGCCCAATGTTTCTCTTTGTGAGTGCACAGACGACAAATGAGTCTGAGCTTCATTACTTGCTGATTTTAGTGGAGTAACAACAAGTAACAGTGTAAATCCAATTGATGCACATGAAACTAGGACTACAACAGAATATGGAAGTATGGCAGGGTTTCCAGTATCGCCTTTCAGGTTGTTTGTCCAAGTGCTATCACCAAACAGAATTTCTGCTGTGAAAATTATATTTGTGAACACCGCAAGAAGGAATGCAAGGAAGGCAAAAATTTCAACACATAAAGCTATCCTGTATCTTCCCATCAATAATCTTGATGAAGAAACACGTAAAATGGGTATAATCGACGAAGCAAGAAGCATAGCCTGGATAACTGGGCACATAATAAGTAACTGATATATCCCTTCAGAACCAGCAACCTTCGCACAGTAGATAGTAAGAATCATGGCCAAACCCTTATGTAGCAGATGATGTGCCGAAAGAGGCAGTTTAACACCAAAGAAGTTCTCTAAAATTACATCACCACTAACAATGCATGTCAATGAGATGATATGGCTTGAAAAGAGAAGGATCACTAATAGCACAATTGGTGCTGCAGGATTTGTGAATATCTGCAGAAGGCAAGAATCCACAGAAGTCAGGAAGGGGTTCCATGCAGAATCCTAACTAAAAATACTTATTAATATGCATCAACCAGAAACTTAAGTTGTTTATGAGTGGGAAGTAATATGCTTATAAATCAATGTAGGCACCGATTTTTATTCTCCTTAACACCTATGGATGAACTAAAAAGCATTACAGTTATCGTTTTCTTAAAATTGTGCCAGCCAGGTCCCAGACCTGACCTACTGAAACATTGCCGTATATAAGTTCAATGCACCAAGCAGTTCATCAAAAAGCTTAACTTGTTGAGGGAAGGTAGACATCATATTCATAATTCAACAATTTCAGGCAATTGCAAATCCAAACAAGCAAGGCATAAAAGAAATGCAACATGCTGAACTCGTGGTACTTTTTCTTGGCAATTATTAAAAAAACCAATAGATGCCAGGATTTGACAAATAGACAGAAACTGGAGATACAAACCTGGTGCATTACCTCCATAGCATCTTGAAAGTTCATTACCAATGTGTCACTGGATTCATCTGCTGCTGAGCTCAGGAGAATATAATTCACAAGGAAAATCCCAGTAAATATAAATAATATAGAGAAAAGGTGGTCGTGGAACAGGGAACCAAGGGTATGGACTGAAGATCTTCTCTGGACCTGCACATATGATATCTGAATCAGTATACAACAAACCAAAGAAAATCAAATAAGCAGAGAAAAGAAAAGAATGATTTGCTTAGTGAAATGGAAGAGAAAGGACAAAAGTACATTCCAACCAGCTTCGTGGTTAGAGTGGAAAACCCTGGGGTCTGGGGATCACTGAAACCCCTGTGCCGGTCCGCGTTCCAAGCCTGGTACCTTTCCTCAAGGATATGCCCAGGAGGTGTCTCCCCCCAAGATCTATTTTTTTTATACATTCCAACCACTTGACATGTATCTTTTTTTTTTCAAACGGTCGGCAGGAGATCTGCCGAACTTGTATTGATATAGAAGGACCACTTGACATGTATCATGAATTACCATAACTAAAAACACTAACAACCTTAACACCATATATTTCTTGATGAAGATCGATTCATAAGTAATGGATCATAACAGGCAATACAGAGGTTTCATAAAAAAAAACAGGCAATACAGAGGACTTGTTTCTTATTATGAGAACTCTGACAACACGAAAGAAAACAAAAGGCTCCACCTAGTGACATACGCTGCTTCAAATACGAAAGCAGCACAACCAAACACCAGTAACCTATTCATGAATCATGACAGAGCACTTTCTTACTCTGTTTTCATTACATTTGAAAGGCCAACTCAAACATGAAGCAGCACAACCAAACACACTGAACCTGGGCACTAATCTGGACACAAAAGATTATTTGCTGACAACATTCAGCACCCCCATGGCCAGCCACATTTTCCCAGACATCACTTTTCATTACATTCAGCACCCTGAGGCTTATTGTTGTTGGATCACTTTCAACGTGCAAGACACATTCATTCAGGATTGATAAGAAAACTTAATGGAAGATAAGTTTGGCAAAGCTAAGTGCTTGTACATGCCATCTGAAAACTTTACCTAAGCATTAGCAAGAGGCTTTAGAAGATTGAACTTACCTGAACAAATGCTGAATGAGTATAAAAGTTGTGTACTATTATATTTGTGCCAAGAAGAGCCATCAATGAGTAAGCGCTTTCACCACTCAACTTGGGGAACATCACATTCATATTGACTGGGGTATGGGGGTGACTGATCAATAAACCAAGCACAAAACAAAGAAGTGTAAATCCAGCTATGCAGGCATTAAATATCCCAGCCACCTTCTTATCCTATAATGAGCACGAGTAAGAAACTAGAATTACATAAGCTCTTAGACTTAAGAAGATAATCTTTTTATGATGGGGTTATTTGGGGATTTATAGATTTACCAAACGAGAGAGCGTGTATGGTAGTAGACTAACTACAACACTTGCAAAACATATGGCTGTGATAAGATCGTCGTGTTCAAACACAATGTTGAACCCCACTGCCATGCCTGCAATCTAAAGTAGCCAAATGTTAAGTGTTTAAAAGACGAGAACTATGATGTGCTCTGGTAAGGAGTAACAAGTACTCATAAACTAAATGCATGCATAGCATGATCACATAAACATCCCAGAATGAAGCACAGCAGAGCGAGAAATCTAAAGTTTGTAGGCGTACCATTGTCAATTCAGAGGTCAACAAGGATAGCCATGCCTGAAGACCGAGAACAACACATATCACCTGACTGTATTCCTGGCAGCAGATCTATCAGTCATGTAGAAGTACAGAAAGTAAGGTTAATATCTCCCAAAGTCTATGCAGGAAATAGTTTAAGATGATTTAGAATGAAAGGAGCATTTACTTGATAGAACTTAACCCCAAGCTATAAAGTTTATCGTTGACAGTTCTCCTTGTTTCTTATCTACACCTAATATGTAATATTAAAAGAAGGAATTTTCTTTCTCCAAATTTTCATCCATCACTTGGTCCCCCAGTATGTGTATCCCTCCACTCCCTGACCATAAGAGTCCTGGTCGGTTTTCCTAAGAGTAGGAGTATGTGACGAATTAGAGATAAGAATCATAATTGGTTTACTATCTCGTCCGTGACCCGAACTCACGACCTGTGTTCATATGAGTCAAAATAGCGCACGTCTAGCCACAGTAGAGTCCGATTCCAAGACGTATTGGAACAGATGACACAACACAAAAGCATGTTTGCTAGTTGAAAGAAAAGTCAGAGATTAAAAATGATAACTTGGTTTCCTGTGATAGAGTCCGATTCCAAGACGTATTGGAACGGATGACACAACGCAAAAGCATGTTTGCTAGTTGAAAGAAAAGTCAGAGATTAAAAATGATAACTTGGTTTCCTGTGATCTATACTCTCATTGTATCCATGAAACTGAGGTTATTGTGAGTAAATACTGTATTTTTGAAAGTCATCACCAGCAACCCAGAAATAATGTTAACAATAACAAGTAATAATACAGGCACACAGCACAAAGTAACTAATTTAGTTACATTGCGTTTCAGTGTTTCATTCAGAAAGTGGTACACTTGTTTTTCAGGCTCTGAGACTGTTAGGTTTGATCTCCCACCAGTTAGGCCCAACGGCCTTTTTGGGCCTTGTTCTCGCGCCCTGATCGGGGGCGCCCAACCCTACATGGTTGGTGGGCCCCCGTCGCACAGCGCAATAAAGGAAAGGTGGGGGCCAGGGCTCGCAGTACGAGGTTCACCGCGCCGCCAGTCACCCCACCGATATCCTAACCCTAACCCGATCTTGAGAAGGGGCGCTGCCAGCGACGGGAAGCACCACCGACGCCGGCAACGCCACCCCGACACACACGTCGCCGCCAAGGACGCCACTGCACCGACTCTCCCTCTCCACCGAACGTCATTGCGGCTGCAGCAGATGGCGCCCTCCGCATAACGAGACCCCGGCCGGTGCTTCGACCACTACGGCCTTCGATGGTCTGCTACCTCTCACTCCCCTTCTCTCTGCCTCTCATGTAAATCTTGAACATGTATTCTATTCCTATGCAAAATATCCCGATCTGATGAACTTGACTCGTTTGAGTCCTAAGAAATTCCAACAATGGTACCGGAGCCTGGTTCCGAGAAGAAACTGGATCGGGAAAAGAAAATAGAAAGAAGAACCCTAGACCTAAATCCTTTCGGATAAGAGAAAAACCCTAGACCCAAATCCGAAAGAGGGAAGAAGGGGAAGAAGAAAGAAAGAAGGGTCGAAACCCTAACCCTAACTGTCGGTGTTTCAGACCGGGGGTCCTCTACCAACTAGTGAATTTGAACTGCGTGCCCCTAATCCCGGATGGTGATGCAAAGAGACACAAGGTTTATACTGGTTCAGACAATCGATGCCCTACGTCCAGTCTGAGAGATCGATCTTGTATTCCTTGCACCGAAGCGCTAGTAGTAGGGGGTTACAAGCACAGTGAGAGAGGGAGCTAATCCCAGGTCTCGGCGAGGTGTCGTGTGGGCTGCTTGAGACGTTGCTCTCAGGCGGCTGGGATGTGCCTGTATGTGAGCTACCAGGTGTTCTCTCTAAGGGGCCCAAGTCCTCTCCTTTTATAGTTGAAGGGAGGACAAGGACAAGAGTACATGTGCTGACTATACGGCGTCGTGCCAACAGGGGCGGTGTGTCCGAGCCCTGTGGCCTGTTCCTGTGGCGGCGTGGTCGTCGGAGTGGTCCGTCCTTGGAGCACTGGGGCGACGTGCTGGTCACGTTCGACCCTGTGCATCATGGGAGCTTCTGGGCTACCTCGGAGCAGGTGCGGCGGCCAGGACGCGGATCGCTGTGGATTGGCGACGCGTGAGGCCGAGGCTTCGGTCAGTGTCGAGGCTGCACCGCAGTGGGGGTCTCGGCGAGCACAAACCCCGAGATAGCCGAGACCTTGGTGTATAGTGCCGAGGCTCCGAGAGGGCGGCTGATCTGGCGCGCTGGCTTGGAGGCAGTGATGACCCGGGCCAAGTAGTCCGCGCGATGTTGTTTTCGAGGCGGGGATCGCGGGGCACAGTGCAGTGTGGGAGCTGATCGTGGGCACAGCGTCAGAACACAGTGGCCGGTAATCCCTGCCGCACCCTGTCCCAGCCGGTATGGCGTTGATGCGACCTCAGGTCCCGTCGGCCATTCTGTGGTGTCAAGCCGTCGTCCGGCTGAGATTGCGGGAGTGGTTGAAGTATTAATGGGACAAGACGTGCTGTCAGGAGGGTTGGTCGAAGCGGGGGCGACGGACTATGGAGAAGATGGCCTCGCGCAATACGGAGAATGAGGCCTTACGTGAGACGGAGGGCGGAGCCTCGCGCGAGACAGAGATCGGACTCCTTGCCGAGGCCTTCCGTGAGAGGCCTCGCGCGATACGGAGAATGCACCCCCTCCTGAAGCCTTCCGTGAAGAGCCTCGCACGAGGCGGAGATTGTGTTCCCCGCCGAGGCCTTCCGTGGAGAGCCTCGCGCGAGGCGGAGATTGCGTCAGGACGCCGAGACCTTCTGCGCGAGGCTCGAGATGAGGCGGAGAGCCTGGCGGGCTCGGACGTGGCGGGTGAGGGGCCCACGACTTACCTTCTAGCTTTGTATTTTGATGGGACTTAAGTGACCCCTTTGATGTTCACTCGGGGTACCCCGTCCTAAGGTACCCGACAATAGCCCCCGAGCCTCCGGAGGAGTGCGTGCACTCTCCCTGAGGGTTCGCCGAGGCTTGGTTTATTCTCGCTCCCGTAGGAATTAGGTTTTGTTTCTTGAGGTTCCGGTGGGTGCGCGTGAGCGCACCCGCCGGGTGTAGCCCCCGAGGCCCTGGAGGAGTGGAGTTACTCCTTCAGGGGCTTTTTTCGTTTTTGCGTTTGAGCGAGGAGTTTTTATCGCATTTGCCGAGCTCACAAGCGCAAGTTTGGGTTGCGGGGGTCTCGGCGAGGCTGCAGGAAAAGCCCTCTAGCCTCCACACGGAGCGAGAGGTCCGTCAGAGATCCCCCTGACTTTGGGTACGACCCTCACGCTTCCTTTTCGCTCGGAAGGAGGGGTGGAATGTGCCAGGCTACCCTCGATGGGCATGAGCGTGGGCACTTCCGTTGAGCTGTTATCGGGTAGTCCGAGTGGAGGCCCGAACCCCGTTCGCTAAGGGTCGGCTAGTGGTCTGGAGACGCACTCCAAGAGTACCAGAGGGTTTCTCTAGTGGGTGCCGAGGCCGTTCACTGGCCTCGGTGGCTCGGTGCCTCCCTACGGTGGGATCCCATTTGAGACTTCCCGCCGGGTCTCGGGACACGACTTAGGGCGCCCGAGCGATCGAGCGATCGTTCGCTCAGGCCTCAGCCATTCGTAGGCTCGCCCCAAGGTCGTCCCTGACTCTGTTGCCCTGGGGCGACTGTCGAAACCTCTGGAGGCCCAGCCTTCGAACCCCTGGACCGTAACGGGCTCGGTGCCCTTTATCGTATTTGTAACGGAACTTCTAGCGTGGACTTAGACCGTTTGTCTTTGTCTTGGGCGCAGGAGGAGCCCCCGAGCCTCCGCCAGGAGCAGGAGGGCGGTCAGGGGTCCCCTGGCTTTTTCATCCGACCCTCACATATCCTTTTCATTCGGACGGAGGGTTTGTTTGCCGAGCCCATTCTGGTGTGAGCCGGAGCCGCTGGTCTTGGTAAGGTTGCAGGAAGAGCCCCTAGCCTCTGCGCGGAGCGAGAGGGCCGTCGGGAGTTCCCTTGGCTTTTTATACGCCCCTCGCGTGTGAGGGTTTGTTTGCCGAGGCCCCTTTGGGCGCCAGCCCGGGTCGTGGGGTCTCGGCGTATCTGCAGGAAGAGCCTCCTAGCCTCTGCACAGGGCGAGAGGGCCGTCAAGAGCTCCCCTGTCTTTTTGTACGACCCTCACGCTTCCTTTTCGCTCGGAAGGAGGGTTTGTTTTGCCGAGCCCCTTTGAGTGCGAGCCGGGTTGCCGGGTCTCGGCAAGGTTGCAGGAAGAGCCCCTTAGCCCCTGCATAGAGCGAGAAGGCCGTCAGGGGTTCCCCTGACTTTTTGTACGACTCTCATGCTTCCTTTTCGCTCGGAAGGAGGGGTGGAATGTGCCTCGCTACCCTCGGTGGGTACGAGCGGTGGCACCTCCGGTGAGCTGTTTTCGGGTAGTCCGAGTGGAGGCCCGAACCCCGTTCGCTAGGGGACGGCTAGTGGTCCAGAGACACGCTCCAAGAGTACCAGAGGATT